ATCCACAGTTATTGGAATCTGCAGAGGCAGAACCATAGATAAGTAGAAATTGCAGAAAGAGAAAAACCTCGTATACAGAGGGCCAACTGTGAGTTATACCTGGATTTTCAAGCATGGGGAGTTAGCACTCCCCTACCTTGATCAAGGGTCAGCTGTATACTGTGATTTATTTAACCAGTCTGTGGCTCAGTCATCCTCAATGTTTTCTTTTTTTCCCCATTCATTCATCTGCAATGAATACTCTTGTCCTTATGTCATTCCACACATGTGCAAGCATATCTGCAGAATAAATTCTCAGATTAGATGTTGCTGAATCAAAAAGTATGGATATTTGACATTTTGATAGCTGTTGCTAAATTACCCTACTAAAAAGTTATACAAATTTATACTCCCAATAGCCATTTTATTGTTTAATCTTGCTGGGTAAAACGTTTCTACTTTTCTCCATGTTTGAATGAATATTTCTGTGCCTCGTGCCTCGTACCTCTAATCCTCAATCCATTGCATCAACAGTTTCTTTCATTTCAATTCAGGTACAGTGACCATTTCTTGAGAAACAATCAGTGTTGGGTACCACGTAGACCCCTTTACATCTCTTATTACATCTAATCATGAAAAGCAAGTCTAGGAAGTAGGCAAATTACAAATGAGGAAACTGAGGCTCAGAGAGATTAAGTAAGTAGATTAACCTTATCTAATTTGTAGGTGGTGTATTTTCAGTATATATTCTGAAATTATTCTTCTTTTCCCTCCTCTGGTACTTCTCACACCAAAGCATCACCTAGGGCAGAGGAAAGGAAACACTCATTCTTGTGTTTTCTAGAGCTGCCTTCCCTGAGCAAGCCAAGATTTCTTTGAAGTCTTCTATACATATTAAAAATGCATGCAATTATTGATTTTCACTTTTAAATATATCTGCATGCTTAAAATATTCAAAATATTTCAAACTACTTGCTTTTAAGTATAACTGAAACTTCAGGAAGCTGCCAGTTTGCCCTGTGGCTTGGTGAACCCTGGCCCAATGCTCCCAGGGCAGACAAAGGAGCATGGTTTTGTATGTTGGTGCCCTCTGGAGAGGTTCATCCTTCAAAACTCAGCTCATGTGCTGATTTAATATCAAGGTTCCCTGCAGGGTCAGCAAGCCCAGAGTGCTATCTGTCTTCTAGAGAACTCTGGATTGCAGCAGAGACAGGGCTCACTAGATTTCTAATGAACAAATCATTGCAGATAAGTGAACATATTATTGTGTTAACTACTTTTATTTTTCCAAAGGAGCTGGGAATTGCCAGAATAATGAAGCCTGTTTCTGAGTGCCAACCTCTCTTAAACACTCCTAAATCTTGGTTTAAGCAGTTATATTAGCCTGGTTCTCGACTGAAAAGCACACATTTAGTTTGCCCCTGCATACATACCCAGTTCCCAGTGATACCCCTGTCACATTGATTGACACCGGGCATGCCTTTCATTTCTTCTCCTGTCTCTGGAAAAAGGGCATAATTGTGTCTGCCAGCTACCACGCTGTCAGAGTTGATGAAAATGTTATTAAAAGGCCTCTTTAGAAGTAATATGCCACATAAATCACAGTCCCCCATTAAAGTGGTTATTTTAGTGCTTATTTAGTTAGTAGTTGCATAGAACACTATGCAACTATTTTTCCCAAATAATTCATATTGAGTCACTGGATGCCTTAATACTTAGGCCCAAACAGAATTTTGTATCTATAACCTTCTGATGAACTTGAGAGTTGAACTTGGTACCTTTCCCTTCTACTCTTGGAAGTTTTCAAGTTGATTATCTCTATGAATGTATGTCTGGGCTATTCCTAGCCAAACACTAGTGCATATTTGAGATAATAGATAAAACTACTGCATCCTTGTAGTAGTTGAACATATCGGTATTTTTCTGTCTCATACTATCTGGTATTTTAAGAATTGAATCCCAATATTTTAAAATCTCAGTTTTCATGAAGCATTCATAATTCTACCATTTGAGTTGTAGGTCTGTTGCTCCAAATTAATCATTCCTTATATAGGACGATAAACCATCTAAAAACTGAATGGTCTGAAGTTTTAAATTCTAGTAACTGTCTATAAATGTACTGTCCCATAATTACTAGCCACAGAAAAATAAAAATTTCAGTCCCTCCATTCCAGTAGCCTCCAGTTCAATTGATCAATAGATCATATGGCCCATGGCTACTCTATTGGGCAGGATAGTAATAGAATATTTCCACCATCACAGAAAGTTCCGTTGGACAGTGCTGGTCTCTAAAACTTGTATTTTAAGACTAGTATATTTAGCTGAAAGATTTTTAACTTTCTGTCCTTCCATTTCACACCTGTCTTAGATTTTTTTCCCCCTCATACTAATGAAAAATTTTAATTGTTTGGGCTTTTAAACCAGTCTCACCTCCAAGGCCATGATTTGAACACAAAGTCTGAGGAAAATGACATGTGTAACCACCATCTGGAGTCTGGTGCAGTGGCAGATCCAGCCATTTCTGAGAAATTATCTGGGTTTGGAGTTAGTCCCAGAACTCTGATTTAGCAGTTCCTAAGCTTATAGCAAGTCTGAAAGGAACACAAATCTGTTTTGTATATACAAATAAATCCTCGTACTCTGCATGCCATTCTCAGCCTGCCAGTTTCATCTGGCTGCTCCAGAAAATATAATTCAATAGAACATTAGTTAACCTGCATGCAGGGAATGGGGCACTCTGATTATTGAAATGTTCTGGTTGAGTGATTAACCTGATTTTTGCAGAAAAACTGCAGAGGCCAGGGATTTTCTGCCCAAGATGTTGTGCCACTGTAATCCTCTCTTCCAGATGATCACAGATCACAGCTATATGGCTTCACTCCTCCAGAACGAAATACATCTCTTTGCAAAAGCTTTCATATATGCAACTGATAGACTCTTGAAGAGGCCTCAAAAATAGATCAATAATGGTGTTTTAGATAATCTTAGAAAAAAAGAGTAAATTTAGAAGGAGAAGTAATCTCTTTGCCCAAATGTTACACAGTTGTAACACTTAAGAGTTCCTGACAATGGGGCGGTTTCTTCAAATCATATAACTTTACAATATTAATTCAGATATTTCATTTTCTTTAGTAATGAATTCTTAAAAGTGCTTACTAGATGTTAAGCAATGCTGCAAGAACTTTACAAGTATTAATTCACTTAATTTTTACAACCACCTTAGAAAATAGGTGTAAAATTATTGTGTTCATCTTAAAGATGAAGAAACATGAGAGGCACAAGAAAGCTCCGGATGGGCCAAGCTGTTCTGCCTGAATGCTCACTGGTCCAAGAGCTTGTGGCATCAGTGAGAGAATAACTAGGCTTATAAGTGGGCACCCAACTGAGTTACATGGTTCCTACTTCCGCAGCCTACCCCTTCCCAAATATTAGATGAGTAGAGTCAAGGGGCCAGTGTGGGGAAGGGAGAAGAGGGACTCTGGCAATGCTTGATTAGACCCAAAGTAAATAATGGAGTTAAGAAAAACTTTTCTTAGTTTTTACTTAAGTAATTCTTACCTGTGATATGTAAGGTTTCTAGGGAGATATATATATATATATAATTCTCTGGTGGCTCAGATGGTAAAGAATCTGCTTGCAATGTGGGAGACCTGGGTTTGATCCGTAGGGGAAGATCCCCTGGAGAAGGGAGTGGCAACCAGTGTTCTTGCCTGGAGAATTCCATGGGTAGAGGAGCCTGGTAGGCTACAGTCCATGGGGTCGTAAGAGTCAGACACAATTGAGCGACTAACATTTTTACTTTTTCATAATTCACTCCATTTTAATAGATTTGACTTTCAAAGGCAATTAATTTTTTTCCCAATTTAGAAAAATATATCGAGCAATAAGCTAGCCCTGGAAGGGAGGAAAGCAGCACAGAATTAGCCAAGGCATCATTGTGATCCTTGATGGGTTCCCAGTTTAATGGAGAAAACAGTCAAACAGAAACTGATAAACTATGTTATGAAACATATGCTACAAGGGAGGGTACAAAGTGCTGAAAGACCACAGAAGAAAGGACAGTCGGTTTTGACTGGGGAAATCAGAGCATGTTTCAGAGAGAAGTAGTTTTTGAGAATCAGCTTCAGAGATGAGTAAGAATTCGGGCAAAAATGTATAGAAAGTGTAGCTGTGAGACCTGTACATCTGAAAGATTTTGATGAGTGTTATAATGGTAAGAAGGCCTTAGTGGAGAAATAATGAATGGCAGTGTATGTGTGTGTGTGTATGTGTGTATGAGAGCGAGAGACAGAATGTGAGAGAAGTAGAGAAGAAGAGGATGAATCTAAGGAAGGTTTTAAAGATTAAGTTAGTTTTCATTTCAGACTACTCAGCACAGAGCATGTATTGGATTCAAGAATTTCTACATCTCATTTCATCATACTTCACACTAAGGAATTTTTGCCAAGTTTATTTTAGCATTTAAGTAAAAGCCAATAAACAAATACTAGGAAAAATCCTTTTTCTCTTTCAAATGTGTTTTTTTCAGAGTCTGGAAAATATTCTGAACTTTGGAATAGGATAAAGTAGGGAAAAATAAGAATAAATTTCTAAAAATGTTTTATTTGGGAAAACTTTAAATAAATCATGTCAGAAGCTAAAATGTTTGAACACTACCAATTCCTTCAACCAAAAAAAAAAAAATAATAGAATAAAAACATTTAAAATGTGAAGAATGAATAACTAATCAAAATAAAAACAAAAAATTTTCTTTGCCTAGAAAGGTTTCTTTCAGATTTTATGTTGTTCATATTAACTACAGAATGGAATGTAAGTTTTACATTTACAATATTACTTTATAAGTTATAGTCAATCATAAATTTCTAAGTTTGCATTTTCTCTTATTTTCATCTCTGCTAATTTAATAGCATGTTGATATGTCTCATACAACTTTAGCAAAGGCAACTATAACTTTTTTTAAACTTTATTTTTATTAGCCCAAAAGAGCATCTTCATAACTACACATTTGTGTTTTTTGGCAGATGACATTTGATCCAGAAATCTTCTTCAATGTTTTACTGCCGCCAATTATATTTCATGCTGGATATAGTCTAAAGAAGGTAAATATACAGTGATTGTTTTCTTCTTTTATCATTAAATAGAGGATCTTGCCAGCACTATTGAAAAAAAAAGCATCATTTTATTTTATGTGTTTACGTATTTGGTAAAAATATCATTATCTTAGATTGTGTGATACAGATTCAAATCTGACATGCTTAGAATTCTTCTAAACTTGCTCTGTCCAGTATACTGATTGTTAGTCATGTGCAGCTATTAAGCCCTTGAAACTTGACTAGTCTGAATGAAGATGTGCTTTAAGTGTACAATATGCACTGGATTTTACAGGCTCAGTATAAAAAAAGAATGTAAAATATTTCAACAATGTTTTATATTTATTTCATGTAGAAATGATAGTTTTTGGATACATTATAGTATCAACATTCATTTTACTTTTTAAAAACTTATTTTAATATGACTACTAGAAAAGTACATATGTCATTTTATTTTTCTTACATATGTCATTTTAAATGACATATATGGTTTACATTATATTTCTATTGGGCAATATTATTCTAGATGATTATAACCAAAGGGGCTCTTAATTAACATTGAGTTTATAGAAAGTTCAGTCTCGCATTTTTTTTGCACTTGCAAAACATTACTTATGTGCAGCCTGAACATGTACATTTCCTAAATTAGTAATTCACACCAAAGTCTACATGCTAGCCTCACCAGGGCCACAGATCAAGGCTCCAGCCTGAATGAGTTTTGAGATGCAGAGTTAATGTGGTTGCTTTCCTGCTGCCCACCCCTGATTCCAGAGATTCCTAGGGCTCTCTCCTCCCTTTGGCCTGTAGGCTTCAGCAGCTTTTACTAGTTCAGTACAGACTTGATTTTCATGTGTACTTTGGGCTCCCTCTTGCTGTCACTTCTGGCTACTTAGTTACCACTTACAGAACTGGAAGGGAGTTTTTCTAAGCAAGCATTTGAAAAGATTTAGAAAGCTGGATTTATTCCGCTCATCCTTCTTCATCCCAGCCCCAAGACTAAGCATCATTTTGTGTGATTCATTAAAATAAACTGTTGTAGGTGATTAAGGTTCAGTTTCATCACTTTCAGAAAAACAGTAAATCAGAGATCCAGTAAAAGTCAAACGGCAACTTAAATCTTTTAGAACAGTATATTTAAAGTGCTAAAGGGGTTTCAGTGACAACAAAACTTCTTAAAAACTCTGTCTTCCTTTAATCATTCCAGAGTCCTGCATGACCATTGCCCCAGTCCTTTCCTCCTCTCTCAGGGCCAGCCAGTTCTGGCCTGTCGCTTTCCAGATGTATTTTTTTCCCTATTTGTTGGAAACCTCTGCCCTTTACAGTGTTAATCAGCTAAGTTTTCTTTGTACAATAAGGTCAGCAACTGAGGCTTCAAAAACAAAATTGGCCTTTATAAAAGTGAGGAAAGGGAGAGGCTATGAAAACACATGCATTTGTTTTTATTTCTTGTTATGCTAAGAAGAAAAAATCTGATGTACTATATGAAATCTATCTTTTCCTCCTCAGAGACACTTTTTTCAAAACTTGGGATCTATTTTAACATATGCCTTCTTGGGAACGGCCATCTCCTGCATCGTCATAGGGTAAGTGACATTTGGAGCTTAAGTTCCAGAAGGCTGTGGGGCCAATCTCACATTTCCTAGCCTCACACTATCTGGGTGAATTGTTTTTTGTTGTTTGTTTTTTTTTCTTTCAGTATATCACATCTTGACATGCTTTTCTGACTCAGTTCCAAGGCTTGCATGTCTTCTGAGAAACACAAGGCTTCAAATCAAAGCAAACTAGAATTAGATTGTTGGATTTTCTCTGTGAGTTTTGAACTTCTGACTTAGATAATGTGGCTAATTTGGTTTGAGTTATATGAAACACATTGCCTTTTTTGGCTTAAATAATGCAGATAAGCACGTTGTATTCTTTTTCCATCTTCTTTGCAGGATCTTACCTGTATTTGACAGGAGTACAATAGTAATATATGTCAGGGGTTTTCTTTCTAAGGGAAAGTTAACACGAGAGCAGTCTGAGACATACATTCTAAATATCAGCAGAGTTGTTTAATGCTGGGATGGCTTTTTGGTCGATACACTTTAGAATGCAGGCTTGTTTTTTTCTCATTATATTTTATTGGTTATGCTGCGAGCCCCAGACTCTGGCTTGCAACTCATCATAAAGCAGAATGTGGTACAAAATGGTGAAGCCAATCCAATTCACTTATAATTCTATCCAATGCATTAAATCTACACTGTAGAAAACATATTCAGCTGCTCTGACTATGATGGTGTGGATGTCTTAAATTGTCTAATACAGCCAGTTCTACCCTGAAATTTTACTGCATACAGCTGTTATATCCCTAAAACAAGAAACTGAGGCTAAAAACACACATTAGTCACTCACCCAGCCCTTTTCTTATGAAGTGTTTAGTGTGTGTCACTGGAAGGCTAAGGAGCTATCATTACTTGGACCTGAAAATGGGGAGTGGGGTGGGGGGGGTTATATTGAATTCGCTCTTAAATTTTTATTGGTTCAAGCCTAGAACAACTCAGGCTACATTATATGAAAATGTCCAGCATGGTTAAGTTAGTGAGGAAGCTGAAGATTTTAACAACTGAAGCTGGAGGCTTGCAGAGATGTCAACTGGGGAGCCTCATAAAGTCTGGACAACTAAGAGGTCTATCAACTGTTTGTGTTTGAGAGTCACAGTGGATTGGATCCTTCTGGAAGCTTGTTCAAGGGAGGGCTTTTCTGTTCTGTGGGTATGCCATAGCTAAATATTCAAACTTCAAAGCTGGCAAGGGCCTCAGAGATCTGTGTGATTAAACTCTTCCTTCTGAAGATGAGAAGTGTAACATCTTGAAAGGCTAATTAATTGTTTCAGTCTCACCATCTATAAGAAGTAGGACCTTGGTCAGGACAAAATTAAAACTGCTGCTCTTGATCCAGCAGTATCTTGCTATCACCCTCTCCTTATTTAACAATTTATCTTTAATTTCTACACATCCTTAATCATTATTCCTATACATTGATTCAAGACTCTGAGATGTGTGAACTCTCATCAGACACTTATCAGTTTATATCAAAGACTGATCTTTAGCAGTTCTATAATATGGAAGTCTGAAATTTATAATAGATCTAAATTCTAAACTTGTAGACAATATTATCAAGTTATGGCATAATCAGTTTCATTATTACTCTGTTTCCTTTCATAACAGATTTCAAGTATACTTGTTTGTGCATTTACATAACATGCTTTTGCTATTATTAAAACTCTATACATCTATTTTTTAAAGCACAATATATAGTGTGTGTGTGTGTGTGTGTGTGTGTGTATACTAGCATGTGTGCATTGTATGTAATTGACTTGTTCTTAAAATTTCAGTTCAAGAGAAACAGTAATAAGTATTTACTGGAGCTGAGAAGCTCTTCTAATTGATTTTTAAGGCTGCAGTTAACCATTTATAATGGAAAGTGATTTGAATAAGATGTGCAGCCCTGGCAAAAACTTTTAGAACCATGTTCTTTGCTTGAACAACAAAAACTTGTAGGGTGCCTTCCTAATGTGGATCATTATTTTAAAATGTGGAAGGGATAGATAAATGAAAGATTTTAGGATCTTATGCAATAAGGTAAGGGAAACCCTTAAAGAGCTTTAGCTCGAGAGTGACAAGGTCAGATTTACACTTTAGGAAGGTCATTCTGGTGGTCATGTGAAGTGGAAAAAAGGCAGCAAGGCAGTTTCCAAGCTAGATTGGAAAAGATGAGGGCTTAGTATCAGGCAGTAGCAGTAAAGATGGATATCGAGTCATCAATTTATTGAAATCCTGAGAGAATGAGGTCTTGCAGAGCAAGTATATGGAGTGAGAAAGGTAGGTATCTGGGCAACAGCACTATCTGAAGAAGGGGAGTGGTCAAGTGGGACAGACGTAGATAACCATTGGATTCAATCCCTGGGAGATGATGGGTGACTCCACACTTATGCTATGGGCAGAAATAGAGGAAGAGCATTGGCAGGTTCAATTGTTTGGGGTACTGTATGATGAAAAACAATCATTTTTCTATGCTGCTCTCCAGATACAATTTCAAAAATTTTGAAGTGAAGTTAGTGGTGGTTTAGTCACTAAGTTATGTCCAACTCTTGTGACCATATGGACTGTTGCCCACAGGCTCCTCAGTCCATATGGTTATCTAGGCAAGAATACTGGAGTGGGTTGCCATTTCTTTCTCCAGGGGAACTTCCTGACCCAGGGATCAAACTCACGTCTTCTGCATTGGCAAGCACATTCTTTAAAACTGAACAACCTGGCAAGCCCCAGCTTAATTTATAGGTATGCTCAAAACATTCCATAAGCAGCACCTAAGGTAAATTTTATTTATGTTTAAAGCAACTATATTACATAATAAATCCCATGACAAACAATATGGGTCTCTTAGATAAGGAAATCCCCCATTTCCTTCTTCAGAAGATCTTCCCAACCCAGGGATTGAACCCAAGTCTCCTGAATTACAGGTGGTCTCTTGCATTGCAGGTGGATTCTTTACCAACTGAGCCACCAGGGAAGTCCACTGAAGAAAAGGCACACACTTAAATTCAGACCAAAATGATACTTTCATGATTTGGTAACTCCCATTTTGTGAATCACTCAAATTTAAACTTAAATCTTAGAAAACAACCAGTTCTATTCTTTTGATAAATAAATAGTGACAAGAAGAATACAACAAACATTTATTGAAAGCTTGATATGTACTGTGCCCTTTTAAAAAGTACTTTACATGGATTATTTCATTTAATCCTCCAAATAATCCTATTAAGTAGATACTATTATTACCCTCATTTAACAGTTGAGACAGCTGAGGTTCAGAGAGAATAACACAGTGGAAGTAGTAGGACTGATATTAGTAACCAAATAGTTTGGCTCCTGAGTCATATTCTTCATGCCAAAAAACTGCTTTACTTCTATTTTTTATTAGCACTAGAAACACTTAAAATATTAAACTAAAAAATAAAATGGTAGAATAAATTTTTACTAACATGCCACATGTTTCTTTATTTATCCTCTTAAAAGTACTCATAGACATGAGAGATTTTTATCAGGAATCCCATCTAAAAAGAAATCCATGTTTTTAAGGGAAAGAAGGAATGCCTGAGTTTATGCAGATATATTTATGTTTGGATAAAATAGGCAAGAGAAGGGACTGAGGACAATTAGTTAGAATGGAGTCTGAGAATAATTTTAAAAAGTGGGTGGATCCTGGGTAGTAATTTAGTGAAGAGTGATGAAGACGTTGCATTTTACATACTATCAAGTGTGGTAGTCCTGGTGGGTATTAGGAATATTGTGCAATTTTCCATGTTGGAGAGTCAGTCTCACAGAGTGATGTAAGAGACTGTGGGAACTGGAGTGCTAGAGAGTCAGCTGACAGATGCCCATGAATCTCAGGATGAGAAATGTATGAGGATGTGAAGGTCATGAAGAGTAATTGTGGAATATGCATGAAAACTCAGCTTGTGGGCCATGATCTTCTGCTGGTAAACCCTGTAATCAAACTACAGGCTGTGCTAGAGCTGGACTCAGATGTTCTATAGGATTTGAGATTGTGGGTCCATTTAAATGAAAAAGTTCTTAAGTTTTATTAACTTCATTTCATTTAAAAATTAGATGTAAGTCATCTTTCAGTTTACATGGGAAAGTTTAACAATATCCCCGTGGAAATAAAGTCAAAGAAACCTTTAAACATTTTTTTAAGGTTAAATTGTTCTTAATTGAACCATCTTTTCTAGTTGTCTCCCCCATTTTATAACTTAAGAAATATTTAAAATACATCTCTGCTTTTAAATAAAATCCATGTATTTGAATTATTTTGCTTTTCATCTCCTCAGTCTTTGAGAGCTGTTCCCTTACTGTTGACTCAATGTCTCTACTTGCATGGTCACATAGGTGTTATCATCACAATGCCAACCTACCTAATGCTTACTGTCATCATGTACATTTTTGTCCTAAGAACTGATCAGCATCTGTGAAACACTTCTTTAAGAGAATTGAAAATGATATCCTTTTAGCTTCTCTGTTAAGGACAAATTAAAGCAAATACCACAGTTTAAAAAAAATATTTCAAAAAAGAGGGTATGGATCTAAACGATGAAGAATGGGGTGTTAATTTTAAGAAAAGCTCACTTTTTAAATTTCATTCCATGTGCCAGACACTGACCTATGCTTTTTACAAGTATTATCTCATCTTATTCTCATAGTGCCCCTATGAGACAGGTACTATTATCATCTTTCTTTTACATGCACGGATGCTGAAGTTGAGACATGCTCAAGGTTACACAGTAAGTAAATGGTAATAAATGGCACAGCCTGTCTGACTTGAGAACAATATTCTTAGAGTCTCTTTGTCCTCCTCCTAAGATGATACATTATATTTCTTAAATTGTTTTGTAATTAATAATTATATATGCAAGACAAACCAAGCCCTCAGTAATTTCATATTTTCACATTTATCATTGTTGCTGTTCAGTCACTCAGTCATGTCTGACTCTTTGTGACTCCATGAACTGCAGCATACCAGGCTTCCCTGTCCTTTACTATCT